CCTGTGTAGCATCCACTGGCTTTGAACTCAAAACCTTCCTGCCTGCTCTACCAGTGTGCTGGGGTCACAGGGTCACAGACATGAACCACACTGTACCTTGCCCAAGTTTTTGTTTTCTTTTTCTTAAGATTTATTTTATTTATATGAGTACACTGTAGCTGTCTTCAGACACACCAGAAGAGAGTATCAGATCCCATTACAGATGGTTGAGAGCCACCATGTGGTTGCTGGGAACTGAACTCAGGACCTCTGGAAGAGCAGTCAGTGCTCTTAACTGCTGAGCCATCTCTCCAGTCCCAAGTTTTCATTTTATGTGTGAAATAGAGTACCCAGAGCTCTATTAGGGGGAAGCTGTGAGACTATGCTGAGAAGCAGAACATCCTCTGACATGTTTTATAAGAAAAAACAAGCCTGGGCTGGAGAGATGGCTCAGTGGTTAAGAGCACTGACTGCACTTCCAGAGGTCCTGAGTTCAAATCCCAGCAACCACATGGTGGCTCACAACCATCTGTAATGAGATCTGATGCCCTCTTCTGGTGTGTCTGAAGACAGCTACAGTGTATTCATATAAAAAAAAAAAATAAATCTTTAAAAAAAAAAAAAAAATAAAAAAAAAAAAAAAAAAAGAAAAAACAAGCCATTGATACTATTAAAGCCCATGTGATGTTAGCACGAAGTTAAAGCAGCCCAGACAGTGGCTGGAGTGACAGTGATGGTGGAGGTGAAGTGAGGCTCAGGGATGAATGTAAGATGAATTGAGCTTTCATCAGGCCAGTCCTAAAGCTGGCATGTTTTGGATGCTTTACTCAGCATCCTGGTCCAGAGTGATTAGACTCAACTCCCAGACATCCCACTTGGTCCTGGATAAGTTCTTCTACTCCTGTGAATCTCACTTTCATTACTGATAAGATGAACTGATTAAAACTAGGTGTAGTGGCTCAAGTCTAAAGCCCAGTATTCAGGAGACTGATGGAGGATAATTCCCATGAGTTTGAGATTAGCCTGAGCTAGACAGTCACTTCCAGACCAGTCTGGACTAGGGAAATGCAGCTCTTTCTCAAAACAAATGAACAAACAAATAACAAAAGAAACAAACAAATAAAACCCAAACAATAACAAAACAATCCTAGTGCTGGACGTGCTATATAGGCTGCTAAGAGAGAAAAAACTGTCAACGATCTTACCTAGCCATGAACTTTCGGCACTACAATACCGACCTGCCTGCTTACGCTACTTATGCAATAGTGGCCAGTGGTTATGTATTTAAAATTGCTTGATGTTTGGATTCCAGGCCCACTCCCCAAGAGGAAACCAGACCAAGTTTCCTCTCAAAGGAAACCTACTCAAAAGCCAATGGTGAGGAGATCAGAGGCTCTAGGGAAGAAATTAATTAGCATAACTGTCAGTGTTGAACCACTTTCTAAGATACACGTTTCTATCTACAGAGTTAGCACTCTCAGTCTTTATCAAAGAAGCCTCTCTCCAGTGAACTGAGATAAAGGGAGAGATTCACGGCTGCACAGAGTGCTGAGAGTAAGTGATAGATGAAGGCTCAGCTCAAATCAAAGTACCTATCCCATCCCTTCAAAAGTTTGGGAACACTGAGGCTCTCCCACATTTGAAACAGGGAGGGGAACTGTGAGATGTCATCTCCTGGGAAAGACACTGCCAATGTCCTCGTCAACTCAGAGCAGCTGAGAAGGACTGCACTGGATGTACACAAAAACAGGACCATCAAAAGACTAACCTTAAGACATGTGAAGGCACTGGAGAGATGCTTCAGTAGTTATTAGCACTTCCTACTCTTGCAGAGGACCAAAGTTTGATTCTAATTACCTACACTGAAAAGTTTATAAACACTTGTAACGTCAACACTAAGGGATCTGAAATCATCTGGCCTCTAGGATTATCCACATGCCTGTGTGCATACACACACACACACACACACACACACACACACACACACACACACATACACACACACACACACAAATAAAAATGTAACTTGTTTGTTTTGAGATAGGGTCTCTCTGTAGCCCTGACTGGCCTGACTCACTACGTAGGCTGGCCTCCAACTCATCTGTCTGTTTCTGCCTCCTCGGTGCTGGGATTAAAGATACCACTAAAGCTGCCCCAACCCCCAAAAGCATCTTTTTAAAAGTTATACATAAATAGGTCAAACTACAAGGTTCTCCTACGATCTATGTTTTTTTTTTGGATGATACATGAACAATATGAAATTGTACAAGTGTGCAAACTTTTTCTCTCTGTATTCTTCCGTAGATGCTCAAACAATCAGACAGTTCTAAGCTTCTGTCTATTGGGAGTAAAGATCACACTCTGGAAACTAAGGGGTGTATTTCTAAGTAGATTTCATACTTATTTTTTTACAAAGTTATCTTTACTCCAAGATATTTACTTTTTTTTTTTTTTTTTTTTTTGGTTTTTTGTGACAGGGTTTCTCTGTGTAGTCCTGACTGTCCTGGAACTCACTCTGTAGACCAGGCTGGCCTTGAACTCAGAAATCCTCCTGCCTCCGCCTCTGCCTCCCAAGTGCTGGGATTAAAGGCATGCACCACCACCACCCAGCCAACATATTTACTTGATTATAGTAGCCTAAGTAAGCATCTTGTTTCACCTATGGCTTTAGCATGTTTTATTGGTTTTTGGAGTCTTCATCTGCTTGGGTCCCCAATAACCTGGAAGTTTTTTGTCCATTTTGATTCTCTCCTGAATCACTAGATAGAGTTCTATTAACATGAATGTAACACCTTTCTAAAAATGCTATTCATTGGTGTTATGGTCTTGAAGAGTATAGTATGCGCTGTGTAGTGTGAGCCAATGCAATGGCCCAAATGCATATGCCAGTTCTGTCCACAGGCACATCAAACCCTTTGGCCTGTATATATACTCTCTTGAGATAATCATTTCTACAGATGTTTAACAATCACAAAAGCACAGAATCTAGACCTAGGCAAATACGGATCCATAGAGCCCTAAATGGAACCTGTTTCCTTTTTTCCATCTGTAAAAAGAGACATACCTATATCCCTGGACTATTACTAAAAATGATACTAGAGAAAATGCAAATGGCCTTGATGGTTCTTTTATACCAACTATCTATTAAACTTATTGGAAAAGTGGGATTATATTCCAAACATTGGATTCAAAGTTGACTAATTTAGTAACGTCTCTTGGGTTCAATGCTGCCAGCAACTTCTGTCTCTGATTGAAACATTACCTGGGTACCCAGTTATGCTTCAATTATTTTATAAAATAAAAATGATGTTTATTCACTTCAGATGCATTTTGAGAGCATCTTAACCTGAAGGGAAAAGAGAAAAAGCAAGCATGGCCTTCAGATACCTGGCCTGAGACGCTGGGTTGGTGGTGATGCTATTTATTGAGACTCAAAGGACTGGAGGAGGATCAGGAATCTGCAAAACAGAGCATTCAATCAACTCGGAACCCGTTCCTCCCACACCAGCCAGCTGACCTTCTGCCAGACCAATGTTCTCATCACTTTCTCCCCAGCTGTCCTCAGGAGACCACAAACTGTGACTGTGATGTGAACAAGATTTGATTTTATCTGGCATGCTCGAGAGGAGGGACACACACACACACACACAGAGTAGGATGAAGACACTGAAGCAGAAAGCAAAATAAAAGACTCAACAATATACTCTTCCATGTGAAAACTTACTGTGTCTTAGAATCCAAGGCTCGCAGTCAGTGAGCTTCCTGCCGGATTTATGCATCAGTTTGTCACTAAATACGTGCGGGTAATTAGTAGTTGCATGTGGTGACATCATATGTAGTTAAGTATTTGGAAATTATTCATCTCTGGCTCATAAACAGACCTGAAACCCTGTGGGTAGGGAGCCTGGCTGACCATGCGCACAAGTGGATCCAGGGTCTGCCTGCCTCAGGATACCATAGGTAGTAGGTGTTCCACAATGTGCAAAGGATGTGTGTGCAGTTTTTGCAACTGTCCACTTTCCCTTCTTTATTTGAGCCCCCATTTTCCTGGACACACAGCCACTATATTCACCCTTTAGGGCTTTTATAAGAAAGCATCCACACCAAGAGGACTTAAAACAACAAAACATTTGTCTTGTAGCTCCAGATGAAACCAGAGTACAACCATGATTACCTTCCCTCTCAGAACTATGGAATTTGAACAATTCCTGAATCTTCTAGACAAAGATTTCTTCCTTGAGGCTGGCCTTGAACTCAGAATTCAGAGATCCACCTGCAGGTAGGCGGATTTCTGAGTTCGAGGCCAGCCTGGTCTACAGAGTGAGTTCCAGGACAGCCAGGACTATACAGAGAAACCCTGTCTCAGAAAAACCTTAAAAAAAAAAAAAGAGTTCAGGATTGAAGAAGCTTCAGATTTACTTTACATACTACGTATGGGGTATTGTCTCTTGGAAACCTGCCAATGCATTCATACTGAGGAAAAGGAGGGAGGGACAATATGTCTGTTATGGTTGGGAGAAGGTCTGTGGACATGATTTCCCTCTCTAGCCCTGAAAAGGAATTTTGGGTTAGTTGAGATCAATGGTATAGCAGAGAGCCTTGGTTCAGATACGGGTAGTTAAAATTGCAGGTCAGCTAGCTTGCTAACCCAAGGCTGTCGCAGGGGATGCAGAGCTGGAGAAACAAAGGTCAATTGAGTGTTCCGAGAATCTGTTCCCGTGATGTTTGACTTAGCCTCCTCTGGAAAAACTCCCACCAGAGGTCCCAAGGTCTTTCGAATTAAATTCAGCCAGATGGTCTGTTGGATCAGATAAACATTCACACTGGGTCCCAAGGCCACAGGGATGAGGGACTGTTCTCGTGAGATTAGTCAAACCTCTGCCCGGGATCTGCTTACACACATTGCAGACATTTGAAACAACCAATTGTGTGTGACTATGCCACAACCCCCCCACTCCCCGCCCCGGCCTTTGCCTATATTAACCCTAAGCTTTTGGGCCTCTGGGTCGATTCCTCTACCTCCTGCGTGAGGCACATATCGGCCCAGAGCTCTTATAATAAACCTGCCTCGTGCCAGTTTGCAGCAAGACAGTCTTTGGAGTATTTTTGGGTCTGTGTCCCTTCAGGGTCTCCCTTGGGGGAGTCTTTCAGCCTCAAGGAAGATACCATATATAGGCCATCAGCAAACACAAGTCAAAGAGAAGTGAAATCATTTGCCTGAAGTTACCAAGGCACAAAGATCCCATTGACAAAAACAAACAAACAAAAAACAAAAAACCACCATCAATAGTGGAGGGGCTGATGGAAGAAAGGCATTGGGATGTGAAGAGACAGACATGTCCTATGAGCTACATGGCACATGTGGTAAGTTATGACATTTTAAATTTGTTCTTGACACAGGGTCTCACAAAGTTCAAGCTGGTCTTGAATTTACTATGTAGACCAGAATGACTTTCAGCTCCTGATCTTCCTGCTTCTATATCCCAAGTGCTGGGATCATAGGCCGGGTCCATCATGCGAAGATGAGCTGTGAGAATTCTTTATGTATGTTTAGTTGTTGTTGAGTTTTTGATAGTTTGATATGTATTGTAATGCTAAATACTGACCCCCCCCCAAGGCCTATGGCAAATTGTAATCCATGGTTATTGATGGGGAAATAGATTCTAATAGCTTAGAGGGTAGATAGACATCTGTCCAGCTCTAGTGCTGATTAAGGCTTATTATAATAACAAAAGTTTTAATTTATATTTATCTCATTATATATGAAACTGTATTGTTGACTTTTACTTTGTTTTGTTTTAAATGCCCAATAGAACAACTTACAAAATTTATTTTGGCTCATAGATTCTGAGAGTTCAGTTCATGGTCACTTGGACCCATGAGCTTAGACACAACATCATTGCAAAAGGGAATATGAGGCAAACGTAAACACCTTACTTTTTCTATGACTCAGAAATAGAGAAAAGGGAAGTACATGTTCTAAAGACACAATCTTTGACACAGATATATACAGTGCATAGACACACATCAATCTAATTTCTGTTCATTCCTTAGACGTTGGCTCAATTCTTCTCTCCTCAGGGGAGTGCTTCTTTTCATCCCCTCCTCACCCTGTAAAAAGTACAAGCACTCTCTTCTTCAGCAGTAACATCTCAGAGATACATAATAATACATGTGTGTGACTTATATGTAATTAGTTATATGTACATGTAATTATAAATTCAGTCTCGGATACGTTGCCTAATGTCTTCTTTGCTACCCTGTAAATCCCATGATGGCCCAGTGTGACAAGTAGCCCAGGGCAGCAATCAGTAGCTATTGACTGAAAAACAAACTATTTGTGAGCTCTTCAGAGCCCAGTGGTTTTTATCCCGATCTACTTTGGTGGTCATCCTACACTGATTGGGTAGGAACCTGGTCTCTCTAGTTATGAGAGGAAATTTTCCATATAGGGTTGTCATGGGAAAGGAAGACTGAAGAGGATTTTGAACATGTTTTCTCTAGATGAAAGGAAGGTTTCTTGCAGGGTGAGAGGAGGCAATGCCATTCATTCCTTACAGTGACTCAGGTAGTTGTTTTTATATAAACATACAAAGAAACCAACAAACAGAGGAATGAGGTGCAGTAAGCCAACATCCATCAATTCATCACAGCAGGAAACAAGAAAAGGAGTCCAGAGTCTAGAAATGCCTGTGAGACTTGGCATGGGGAGCATGAACACTTGGAGCGCTGTTTCTCACAAGATCTAATTATTCCCACAAGAAAAAAGAGAAAAAAGAAAGAAAGAAAAGACTTTGGACTTCTCTGGTTGTGTGTTTGTAAGAATGGCCCAAGCTCTGCTGGAGGTTGAATGCTTTGCTCTAACAAGGGCCTGATATAAGGGCTTGATTAAACCAACAAAAGGCAAAAGGGAGTGTTTTCAAGTGTTCACTTGGGTGACCCTGCAAGATCTAGTCCTGGTCCAAGTGAGAGGCTGAAGCCAAGAACAAGTTATTTATTTGATCTTCTTCAAGCCAGTCCAGGTGAGCATGTGACCATTCTCTCTTCTCTCTCTGTGTCTCTGTCTCTGTGTCTCTCTCTCTCTCTCTCTCTCTCTCTCTCTCTCTCTCTCTCTCTCTCTCTCTCTCTCTCTCTCTCTCTC